GCGGCGGCCAGCGCGGCGGCGGCGGCGGCGTCAACAGGCGTAGCGAGCGTCGCGCCCGAGCCGCCGGCAGCAGGTTGCTGTGGCGGCTCGCAGACTCGGCCGTACTTGGGCCCGCGGATCTCAAACATGGGCGTTGTGCCAGAGAAGCCGGTAAACGAGAGCGGCGCGGCCCAGGCTGAGAGTGATGCGCCAGCGAGCGCAGGGTCTGCAGGCAGCGCCATCGGGATGGAGAGGCGGTAGCGGGTCGCCGGGGCAAAGTCGCCGGTGACTACGACGCAGTTTGTGGCGTTAGCCCGGCCGCCGAGCGCGATGAGCGAGCCGGGCGGAATGGCGACGTCGGCCGACGCGAGGGTAGCGGCTGGGCCAGTCTTCAGATGCCATCCGACCGAGCCGATGCCCTCGAGACGAGAACCAGCAACGTGTTTTGCGCGAGCAGAGCCAGGAACAGGACCCGGAACGCCACCGTAACGGCCATAGCCATCGCGAACAAAGTCATCGTAACGAGAGGAGGCGTATGAAGCAGCAAAGTAGGGATCGTTGGCAAGGATGTCCGAGAGAGCAGCAGCCATTGTAGAAGGAAGACCATGTGAAGAAGGCAGAAGAGGAGATGATGACAAAGTACTTGGATCAGAAAGGATATCGCCACCAACAAATACAGATGCTTCTGTCTCTCTCGAAAGTATGAGTATGGTGTGCTGGTCGAGGAGGCATAGAGGCAGACCGCCATGCCATCAGGCGCAACTCCATGAGGACTCGCAAGCTCAACCTCTACATTGCTACTTGCCGCAAGTGCAAGCGCAAGGTAGCCCAGCACTCCGCATGCAAACCCAAAGCCCTCCATCTCGTCGTCGAGTCAGCTGTACCGTACGGGGGGAGAGGCCCGTGGGGGGGGGGGGGGGGGCGGGTGTCGGTGGCGCCAAACTGGCTCAGTCCGAACCAGGCTCCGCGAGGGTAGTGCGAGGAAGCTTAAAGTCGAGCGCAGCAGTGAGTGGTAGCTTGGAGAGGGGTGAGGGGGGGAAGGATGGGACTGTTCTCGCTGTTGATGTAGACATGGTGTGGTGTGGTCGACTCATCGTCGCCGATAATGGTACTGATCGCATTGCTCTGTCGCCATCGGGAGATACCAGCACGTTCAGCTGGCCAGATGTTGGGGTGGGTACGGTTGTTTAAGGGTTGGGGTTTGTGGGGGGGGGGGGCTGGATATGGGAATGAGGGCGGGCGGGTGGGCGAGGGCTGACGAGACCAGAAGAAGGGGACGATTGATCAAGAGAATTTGGGCGACTTTATGTATGCCTGGGATGGGGTGCAGCTTCAGCTTGCCTGGGCAAGCACCGCACTGTGGCGGGGGATTAAGAATCGGAGCGCTTGTTCTAGAACACATGTTGAAGGTATAAGAGATGATGTTGTTGAGATCGTATCGAATAGTGGCACGAGGAATCATCGATAGCCATGGGTGGCACGAGGAATCATGGTCAACATTCAAGGAGGCGACAAATAATCGTTATCGATGGGTGGCACGAGGAATCATGGTCAACATTCAAGGAGGCGACAAATAATCGTTATCGATGGGTGGCACGAGGAATCATGGTCAACATTCAAGGAGACGACAAATAATCGTTATCGATGGGTGGCACGAGGAATCATGGTCAACATTCAAGGAGACGACAAATAATCGTTATCGATGGGTGGCACGAGGAATCATGGTCAACATTCAAGGAGACGACAAATAATCGTTATCGATGTGTGGCACGAGGAATCATGGTCAACATTCAAGGAGACGACAAATAATCGTTATCGATGGGTGGCACGAGGAATCATGGTCAACATTCAAGGAGACGACAAATAATCGTTATCGATGTGTGGCACGAGGAATCATGGTCAACATTCAAGGAGACGACAAATAATCGTTATCGATGTGTGGCACGAGGAATCATGGTCAACATTCAAGGAGACAACAAATAATCGTTATGAATGGACACATAATCGTAGCGAACAATGCCTTTGAATGTCGACCGGTGGCAAACGAGCGAATGGACGTTGAAGACTCGCCGACCCAGCGGCAAAGACAGGGAAGGGGGGTGGGAACAAGGGCAACCGACAGCGCACTCTGTGCATAAGGCGGACAAGGAGGAGAGGTACATGTCCGGGATCAGTGGGTATGAGTATACCTCATACAATGGCTCGTACCAGGAAGTCTCGTCAGAACTCTATCGCACCGACTACAAGGTCCTCTACGGAGGAACCAATGCGTCCAACTTCCACCTCTCGGACTACCACATCCTCCATCGATCCGTCCCGCCGCGAGACACCGACAATCCACCCCCACCACATCGGCGTCGGGATCGGCATCCTGCTGATTCACCATCGTCCTCAAACAATGTCTTTGCTCGGGCAGGTGCTTCGCCCAAAAGCTCGTCTACAAGGCCGACATCGTCATCGCCATCGCGCTCGGCGACATCGCAGCAGCCAGCTGGCAGCAACAACGTCTTTCGTCGCCTCTCCGAGTACTCGACAGACGCATCGGCCGTGTATATGCCACACGGATCAGTGGAAGAGCGCTCGTCGTACTCGGCTTTGGGCCCGAGGGTGGTGTCCAGCCCGGTGACCAAGCCGTCGGCCTCGTCGTCGTCGTCAGCTGCGGCGGTTGCGTCGTCGTCGCCGCTGCCACCGCGGCGGAGAAAGCTCCGCTCAAAGGAGGGCCGTGGAGAGAAGGAACTTTCGATCTCGCTCTCGCCGTACTCGGCCGACGCTACCGCGCACATCTCGATCTCATCCACCACATACGGTATCAACGAGTCGTCGTACGGTACCGACAGGGTCGAGCGGCTGCCTATTCACGGATCGGCCTACTCAGATGATGCTGCTGAGTATGTTGCGCTCCCAACGCCGGACATTTCGCTTGACGGGTCGTCGTCGTACGCGACAGCCGCGGCGTCGACCGCCTATCGCACGCGCAAGGACGACCAGCTCCCGCTGCCGAGCTCATACACAGGCGACAGGGCGGGATATGTCATCCACACTGTCTCGACCGACTCGTCGTCATATTCGGGCATGGCTACCGGCTTTTCGCCGCAAAACAGTCATCGCGTGGCGCAGACTTTGTCGCGCAAAACCAAGGCAAAGCCAAATGCAAAGGCGAAAGCCAGGGCTAAGCCGAAAGCAAGCGCGGCAAAGTCGTCGTACTCTGGTGATGCGGCAGGATACCGCGGTCTCTTGCCAGCCAGCGACTCGTCATATTCAGCCGATGCTGCCACCAACTACGCACCGAAGCGTGGCAAGAAGGGAGGAAGGGAAGGAATGGCAAGAAGGGCAAAAGCAAGAAGGTCGCGGCCGCAGAGGTCTCTGATGGCTCGGCGGGCGACCACGCCGCACCTGCGCTCTCGTCCTACTCGGGCGATGCGGCCGGCTACCGGGGCCTCTCGCCCGTGGTGGACTCGTCGTATTCAG